CCGGAGTGTCGGACAGGACGAAGTATCAACGGCCTGGATTCGGCCTCAAAACTCGGGCCTGGATTGTTTGGGCCTGGATTGGTACTCTCCCCGAACGGCTCGCTCTGAGCTGAGTCATCACCATAACTCTTGAGTCTCGAGTCGGGCGGAGTCACGTTCAGACTTCGCCCCCCGTGGGCATCGGCAGTCCGGAGTCCGGACGTCATCCGGCCATGACGGTAGGTAGCCTTACTAGCAGGCTAGGTACGTGCCTTTGTGAGCTCCAATAGGTACATCCGTAGGTATTGCAAACGCGTATGTGTGTATACATGTATAGTAGAAGATAGTCTTCGAAATTCTGGTAACGCTAGATAATCCCGACCGACTGGCGTTACGAACTCGCGGATTTGCAAAGTGTAACGCAGTCCGCCTTACCGGTTTACCATTACAGACTGAATTCTGGCGACACATTTTAACTTCCCCAGTCCGCCTTACAAAGCTCCAGGGAGTATCCAAATCGCCAGCAATCCCCCTAGCTGGGTACATGGCATACGCCAGTGCACGCTTCTGTGCGGGCTCGAAATCGCGCTTTTGTACTCTAAAAACTGAGGAATGCTCTTGCAACCAATCAGACCGGCAGGCCCTCCAATATAGAGGCTTGGGGGGTCACCGACGGCCGGATCTCAATGTTCTGCGCCCAAATTCACCGGGATGCGGCTACGGGGTGCAGGTGAGACGTCATATACGGCCGCGGTTAAGAAGCACTGGAACCGGTTGCCGGTCAGCGCGGTCTGAGCCTGTCGCCGGTGTCGCCGCGGTCTGGGACCGTGACGTCAGCGGAGACTGGCAGTGCGACGCGCGCATTAAATGCGAGCGGTGACTGCGGGGACCGGCAGTGATTGTCAGTAGTGCAGTGAACAGTGGATCACTGGACTGCAGTCACTGCAGTACTGCACTACTACAGTAAGTAGTGTTTTCCGGAAGGCCGACCTGGTGGACCTTATTGGAACTGGCTGCTGCGCGTGGTGCGGAATAGGAAGAGAGGAGTGGTGATTGAGACGTATTGTTAGGCTGAAATGTGAGGATCATGAGCAAAGAAGTTATTGTGGTGTAGGAGATTAAAGTGGCCGCTTAGGAGACCCGTTGTGGTACGGTCTGAACCTGCGGCGTTAGCGAGGTAACGGTCTGCAAGGATGGTAGAGCCAGGATTAGCGGTTGTGCCAGCTGGCGAGGTTGGACAAGGGCTGCCGGTTGGTGTGGCTGTGGAAGAAGAGAAGAGGTGAGTTAATGTGCATAATGTGTATTGCACGAATTCGGGGTGGGTTGGGTGGGTCGAAAATTTCCAATTTTCTCGTCTCCTTGGAGCGCCCCTTCTGGCGCCTCCCCTTTTGCGCAATCAACTTGAACAAGACGCGGTTTGAACAACGTCTCTTCAAGACGTCAAACTAGCTTGTCCGACGCGGACAGCGCATGGTTCAAGGTTTTAACTTAATCGACAGCGCGGCCGGCCGGCGGCCGCGCCTACTGGCGGCGTGCGACCTGCCAGCTTCTACCGGTTTGTATAGTCCTCGTGCGCCTGCCGTATCTAAGAAATTAGCATTTCCCGAGCCTAAACCCTGTGGAAGGCTCGGTCTTTTTAAACCGCAGAATCTTACATCTGACGGCAGGCGAACATTCCCCTGCCTACTTAGTGCACTGTACTGTACTTTGTGCAAGTTGGCCACGTGCCCAACCAAGAAGCGCGGAAATAGGTGTTTGCGTTAGCGGTGTGAATTTGCGTGACAAAGGGGTGTTATGTGGCTCACTGCACTGCGAGTGGCTTACGGTATAACATTTTCTGTTTGTGACCAAGGTGTGAAAGTCATTGCATGCGGCGGTGTCTTGGTTTGATGGAAGGATTATCGCGACTGGCTGGTGCGTATTACCACCTCAGCTAATCATTTGCCTGCTTATTAATGACCTGCCCCACGTGTACATGCCGAAACTGGATTTCGCGTGGAGTTGGGGTACAATTTCTCAAGAAGTGCGGTTTAACGAATTGGGTTTCGCTTGACCAGCCACCAACTGCAGCTTGCAGAGCATGTGATTTTCGCCGTCCATATCCGAAATCTGACGGTTTTTGAGCGTTGTGCCGTGCGACCCACAAAGCTCTCCGACTTTTTCAGGCAGGGGAATGTTTGCCTGCCGTCAGATGTAAGATTCTGCGGTTTAAAAAGACCGAGCCTTCCACAGGGTTTAGGCTCGGGGAATGCTAATTTCTTAGATACGGCAGGCGCACGAGGACTATACAAACCGGTAGAAGCTGGCAGGTCGCACTCCGCCAGTAGGCGCGGCCGCCGGCCGGCCGCGCTGTCGATTAAGTTAAAACCCTGAACCATGCGCTGTCCGCGTCGGACAAGCTAGTTTGACGTCTTGAAGAGACGTTGTTCAAACCGCGTCTTGTTCAAGTTGATTGCGCAAAAGGGGAGGCGCCAGAAGGGGCGCTCCAAGGAGACCTTTGTTTTATTGGGGGATTCACACCATATAAGAGCCCCCTTGTGGTGATCAGTGGGAATAGGCCCTGAGTGCAAATAGCCTGTACCCGCCATGGAGCCGCAATTAGGAACCCTTATCGAATTGCTAGGGCCACCAGGACTGATTGGGGAGTACTTGTGGCATGAATTGCCAGGGCCTGCACCAGGTACGGGTAGAAGATTCTGGACCAGAGTTGTGGACGTTGAAGCGGCAACAGGCAAGTTTTGGCTGGAAGATGGAAATGGCGAATTGTTTCATAGATCGGTGGACAAATCCGAGCTCAGGATCGGAATCGGCTCCAGGTATCCCGGGGACACGCTGCTTCTAAGGCTCAGGGAGAAAGGCTTGCAGCATGACGTCTTCCAGGTGGCCATTCCCGGGGCCCCTCCTTCTGAACCATTGGGTCCGGTAGGGCCAGCAGGTGGTGCTCAGCAGCAACAGGGGCAGGCCACACAGCAGCAGCCAATCAGGAGAGTAACGATCCCTGACCCACCAGCTGTGACGCCAGGGGCTGCAGTGCTTAATGCTCTCACCCCCGGTCTTATGAGGGAGGCAGACACGACGGGATCAGCAGCGCGACTGGAGAGGGCATTCAAAGAGTTTGTGCAGAAAGGGTCACTGATCTCGCATATGGAGGCAGCTCTGCGGAAGATCCCCAGGGATTCTCGGGCGTGGTATACGAAGTTTGAGCAGCTCTTCGAGGTATACAAAGAGCCAGACCCGAAAGCGGCCCACCTAATGGCAGCGGTCTACTTCTACGCCAACCAAATCAACTTCGTGTCTAGGGCCTCGACCTCGAATACTTGGCGGATGGGTTCATCACTGATATGAAGATGGCGCTGGAGGAAGCAGGGGACAGCAGCAGTTGGACGGCGGACACGGTGCGAGACCTCGAAAATCAGATAAAGAAGTCTTTCGAGGAGTACCGCAAGGAGGCGCAGACCTAGCTGGGGGAAGGTAACGCACGCCCCTTAGTGCTGCGGGGCGCAGGAAGCGGAGGCGGCAGCTTTGGGAGGTAAGGCGGCTTGGATAAGTTAGCTTTTGCATCTCAGTGATATGATCGTGGCGCGGAAGCCACGAAAATGAACGTTGTATGGCCTGGACTGGACTCTAGCTGTTGCGCCCTAGGAAAGGTGGCCAGTCGAGTGCATAATTCAGTCAGATCACATGCACTTTATCAGAAGCCTCGATGGGTATTGAAGAGCAAGATGACGAGGCCTGCAACAGATGCGAGTGGAACTTCAGACGCTTAAAAGCGGAGCGAATTGCCATGCAAAGAAAAGGAATCCGAGCCCAAAGTGAGGCTGGCAGCAAGATCCAAAAACGCCCGCAAATGGGCTTGAAACTTTTGATGCCACCAGATTGTTCGCCGATAATGGGCGACCAAGAAGAACGCGGGGAGCCAAAATAAACAAACAAAGTTCGGCTCAGATGCCATTGACAAAAGTGAAGCCCTGAAGCGGCCTTATTAACAAAAACCTCCTCCAAATAACTGGAGCGGATCCGGAGGCTCCGGCAGAGGGTCCGGCTGGGGCGGCAAGAGAAGATTCGACGACAGAGACAGAGACGACAGAGAGGACCACGAGCGCAACGCTCCGGTGAATAGGTCTGGTCGTAGGTAAGAACTCGGCAGCCGAGAAGACAGAGGAAACCTAATGAGACCGAAGTTGGATCAGACAGGAGGTAGAGGAGAACAGCAAAACAGTCCAGCGATAATTGTAAAAACATCAGATTGACGGACCTGGTCCAAACGAATTCTGTCGACGGCTCCTTACACTTAAGAGTGCAGCGCGCGTCGGCTTCGCTCTCGAGTCCGCCGCTTGCGTGAGGTGCTGCTCTGTAAAGCACACGAATGGAAATGTAGGATACCGCATGAATGTGTGCGTGGCAGTGTTTCCAGAAAATTGCCTGCTCCGCGAACGACCGAGGCGTAATTACAATAGGATGTTTGCTCTGGCTGACTACGTGGATCCGCAGCATGCTCCGCGGACTTCTCGCCGGCTCTGGCTAACCGGCGACGCGAAATTTTGGTACCCGCGAAACTCGGTGTAAATGCGCCCGTCGAACCCGGTTACCCGTCGGTTAACGTTTCGTTGGGCGATGCAGATTGCTAACCCGGTACCGAAGTAAAACGTTTACACCATTAGAAGATGCCCCATTCCAGGGCGGAAAGGAAGAGACCCCGTGCGGGCGGTGCAGTCTCGGGGGTTAGGTTTCTGAAATTTGGGTTAGCGAAACCGGACCCATTCCAACGTCAAGACGGCTTGCAGTCATTTTGTTCAGGCTTTCCTCCTGTTTTCTAGACCGCCGCTGCGGCTCATGCAAACTGAACTTTACAACGATATCGCCAGGGCCACGGAGCAAGGATTCACGGCCGCCGAACCGGCGCAAACCCTGCCACGTGGCTCGGAGGAAAAAGCAGAAGCGGTTGCGCGACGAAGTGGCGAACTGCCGGCTCGAAACGGAGCGGCCCCGAAGGGCGACAACACGACGCTCCCCCAAAGCGAGCAGGGCGGAGCAAAAGTCGGCAGCCCTGGAAAGAAACCTGAGGGGCCCCCAGACGCCTTCGAGCGTGACCAAAACGTGACGCAGGCAGAAACCCGAGCGGGTTGCCCGAAGCGCCGCATAGCGCCGCGGAGCTGGCGGGTAGCGGGCCCGACGAAGAGCTCGAGGAGCTGCAGCCAGACATAGCCACAGATCCGCTTTCAGATGGCGTGTCCGTGGCGCTCGACGCCTGCACACACGCTTTCTTTGCCGGGATAAAGGTCAGGCAGGCCCCTATCCCCGATCCAGAGCAACTTCGGAAAGCTGTGCGAGAAGTTCTGCGCACAGCACCAGGACCGGCGGGGGGATCAGAAATGTCCGCCGAAATGAAAGGGGAGTTGGAAACCTGGGTGAGGAACGTCGGGGACCACACGTCCGACCCGGAGAAGTTTGTGGCCGGCAGCTTTGGGCGGCACTTCCCGGCCTGGCAGAAGTTGCTGAAAGACTCCAAACGGGAGTCCTCGAAACGGGTCCTTAAGATGCTCGCTGCGGGGATAAAACCTCAGTTTGTGGGCACCGAAGACGCGGAGCCCAAGAAACGCGAGCAAGTTAGGGCGATGCTCGCCCGCACCGTCAAACCCCTCGAAGTGGACGAACTTGCTTCACGGACAAGTTCCCCATCAGGTCGAATTCCGGAACCACCAGTCCTTTTACGACAACGCCCCGTTCGCAGTGGGGGAAGCAGTCAAGATGGTCCAAAACGGTACCCTGCACGTGTACGGCCCGGGAGACGGCAAGCCTAAGGTGGTCAACCCACTCGGAGTGGTTAACCTCCCCAAGGGGCGGCTGGTGGTAAACGCCCGCTACGTCAACCTGTTTTTTAAGAAGCACGCTTTCAAGTACGAGACGCTGCGCGAGGTCCTCACGTTTCTGACGCAGGCCTCCTTCTTCACGACCTGGGACTTCAAGGCCGGGTACTACCACGTCTTGATTAACCCGGCCTACCGCAAGTACTTCGGGATCAAGATCGGAGAAGTCTACATGCACTACAACGCGATGTGCTTCGGGTGGTCGGAGGCTTGCTTCCTCTACACTCTCCTCACCCAGGAGCTGAGTAAGGAGATCCGATTGCGAGCGGTGCCCGTCTCGAGCTACCTCGACGACGGGCTAACAGGGGACGTCGACTTCTATCGCTGTCTGTGGGCGACGGTCTTCATCATCAAACTGCTGACGCTGTGCGGCGCCGTCTTCAGCATCCCCAAGTGCAACCTCTGGCCGCAACAAGAGGGGCCTTGGCTGGGGTTTCTCATTGAGACGGTAGCCCAGCGCTTCTCCGTAGCCCCTGCCAAAATGGAGAAGCTACGGACGGCGCTAAGGGGTTTGGCGGAGAGCGCTGACGTCACGCCACGAGAGCTTGCCAAGGTGGCGGGCAAAGTCATTTCCGTCAGCCCGGCAGTACTGCCGGCGTCCCTCTACAGCCGGCCGTTTTTCGCGGCAATCCAAGGGAAGCTGACGTGGGACATGACGTCTTCCCAACACCCCAGGCAGCCAAACGGACAGCGGAGTTGTTTCTGCAGCGGCTGCCGGAATGGAACGGCAGGCGCTGGTTCCCGCGCTGCGTAATGGCGGAGGCTGGTTTGGACGCATCAGAGACCGGCTTCGGGGGCACCATCCAGGTCCCCGGGGGCGAAAAGCTCACGGTTGTCGGAACCCTCGCGGAGGAGGAGAGGAGCATGTCCAGTACGGCCAGGGAAACGGTGGCGTTCCTACGAGTGCTGACGGAAGCCTACGAGCGAGCGGGGGAGGTGCTGCGGGGAGCGGCGGTGCTGCTAAAGGGAGACAACCAAGGGGCGGTTAGGGCAGTGAACGCAATGAACAGCCGCGCCCCTGACGTTAACGCCGCGCTCAGACAGCTGTTTGAGCTGTGCGCGGAGGGGGACTTCGACGTGGTGGCTCAGTGGAAGCCGCGCGCAGAGATGCAGGAGGAGGACGACCTCAGCAAGTTCCAGGAGAGCTCCGACTGGGGGTTGAGTGCGGAGCGGGTGCGCAGGATCCTGGGGGAGTTCGGCGTGGAGCCCGCACTGGATCTGTTCGCGTCGGACACGTGGCACGTGTCCGATCGGTTCTTCAGCCAGCACATCACCCCCGGCTGCCTCGGAGCGGACGCGTTGCGGGTCGACTGGCGGGACCTGCTTGCACCCGGAGAGATATCTTGGATTTTTCCGCCAGTACTTGACTCCTTAGCGAGGTCGTAACGGCAATCCGGCGCTTTGAAACCAGCTGCGTGGTCATAGTCCCAAAGGCGCCGGCAACCAACTGGTGGCTGACGCTGAGCGGCATCGGCAAGCGAGCAACCGTGCGAGGACCGGTGCATCTGCCACGCAGCACGGACATATGCACACCTAGTCCAAGGGTCCCCAAAGGGACGGCCAATCCGGCGCTTTACAAATTGCAGGCGTTCCTGATAACATGGTAATTGACGAATCAATTGGCAGAGTAATGCGGCATTGCAACAGATCATTGCACGAGAGTTGAGGTAGCATAGTGAAAACGTGCAATAACTCCTGACAATTAACATTCTTCTGTAACGGTTCTTAGCGCCGGTGCCAAATTTCTTCTACGTAGACCTTGAATGCGGAATAGCTTTTCCATCGCCCTAACTCCATCAGCTGTTTCACGTTATAGTTCAGATTAACTGCCGCGTGCTGCACTGCTGACCTACGGAAACTATGCAACCTGGTCTCCCCGTCGAACAATCCTGCTTGCTGCAGCCGTCGCTGGATTCGCTTCCGTAGGGAGGCGCTTGAAATGGGCCCCGGCGAGAATCCTGTTCGCTGCCGATTTTGCGCCCTGAATAGGTAACCGTTCTCTGGGCTCGGATCACCCTGAATCTCCAAGCCCTTGATCAGCGCAGCGCGGCAGCTTCGATGAAGGTGAGCCTGACCCCCATTCCAGCCTGGGCCAGCGGAATCCGCGCACTGGGCTCTTGCCGCACAGTTTTGCTCCAACCTGGGTACGCAGCAGGAGCGGCCCCTCCTTCGATTTCGCGCGCGCTCAGCGCGCCGCACTCCTTGCCCCGAGCTAAGGACTCCCACAGGTACAACACGGCCGCCTGGTCCATTAGCAGCGTGCAGAGCTCCAGAGCGTCCATCTCCTGTTTCAGGCGGTCGGCCAGGAACGCGAGCAGCGCGTCCAACTTTGCTTCGGTGAAAACCTTGGCACGCTGGACCTTCACGCCTTCGTCGTGCAGGTACCGCTCGTAGCCGTCCCGAAACGATTTAACGGCTTCTGACTTTGCAGGGTTCTCGTGCCCAGCGTAACCCAGCAGCGTGTATGTTTTCGTCAGGTCCTTCACGACTCCCTTCACAGCGGAAGCGGAAGCCACCGTTTTCCCCGTTGACGGCAGCACCTCCTACAATTCGCACTGTGTCGGGGCAGCCAGTCGCCCACGATGAAGGCGCCAACATCCGCAGGAGAGGCGGTCTCAATGCTAACTCCGTAAGCGTTTCGCCCGAGAAACGCTGCGAATTCTTCTGCACTGTCCGCTTGCGCGAGCTATTCGCGGCTGCAGAAACCTTCCGTTCTGCCATCTCCCCAAATTCCGTCAAGGCCCGGGCGTACAACGCATCCGTTTCGGCCGCGCTCCAAACGGAGCCAGTGTCCCCACCACGCCCGCCCTGGATCCCGCGAACGGAACGAACGTGAGCCTGACATCGCGCCTGGAACTCCCTCCTGCAGCCAGTAAGCCCCATTATTTGTCAATAACTGTTGTCTGGTGACAATTGGTATTTTGGGGCGGTGAATTCGGGCGCAGAACGTTGAGATCCGGCCGTCGGTGACCCCCCAAGCCTCTATATCGGAGGGTCTGCCGGTGATTGTATGCTTGCTGCTGCTTTTCTGATTGGTTGCAAGAGCATTCCTCAGTTTTTAGGTACTTGTACAAGTACGGTACTTTACTGTAATTCCTACCTACCTAGATACGGTACTTGCCTACAATAACGTAGGGTTTTAGGGTTTTATGCCATATGGGAATTTGGAAAGCCTGTATCTACAGCTTGTGGGATTTCAATTTTCAGCACCATGGCGTCCTCCTGCCGCTTGGCATGGTCCTCGGCTCTTGCTCTCTGTTTCCTCTGCCTCTGCGACGCCATTTACTCGCCATATGGGAAAGGGGTCCGGTTGGAAGATGTTCAGGCCATCACCCTCCACAGGGGGCAGAGGACTACGTCTCGTCGGTCAGGTGCTGTCCCCCAGCTGAACTGTGTGGGTGGGCCGTGCGAGTATGAGCCTGACACGGTGCAGTGTGTGAATGTGGGCAGTGACGGGATGGATGTGCAATGGAGGTGCGAAGCGGACTTGCCGAGCAATGTCAAGTTTGCTCGCACGCAGGTGACATGTGAGGTGAGGCTGAATTGAGGTTGCAAAAAGGCCATTTGCCTAGGCGTCACGCGTCCTCAACAGCCTGATTGGAGGATCTGTTGAGACATATATAGAAGACCCGCAATATTGCTATCATGAAAGAGTCAACATGTATGATGCTATCATTTGGAGATTGTGCTCTAGAGGCTGCGGTCTTTTGTCAACCTGCATGCGGAGGCTCTTTTGGTGGTAATAAAGTTGGGGTAGTTAATGCCGAACCGGTGGTAGGTTGCATGCAATAGAGCACGTCTTTGAAAGGAAATGGAGGGGAAGGTGGGACATCATGAGGTTGTTTGACACCTTGTCACGGCAATCATGCAGGGCTATGAGTACCCGGATGATGAGCGCGTGCTTGAAGGAAGCTGCGGTCTCGAGTACTCGCTAAAAACAGTAGGAGGTACGTGCAGGAGTGCAGAGTATCTGAGTTCATCGCTTTGAGTGCTTCATTGCAGTGCTCAAGGATTGGCACAAAAAGACTGTGCATATTCCTACCTGCTACTTCCTTCCTGTAAGAATTGTCACTGCTTCTGAGGGCAGTACCGTGTGCTCATGCTTGACTGAATTGGTTGCGTACCCGCCGTGTTCCTGGTGCAGGCGGTGGAAGCTGGTTCAGCCAAAGCCGTGGTGGGGACTACTATGGGGCAGGAAAGAGTGTAAGTTTCAGCGCCTGTTAAGCAGATAGCTTTGAAGCTGCCAGGCTTGTGCTGCTTTGCTTGCCAACATTCGTGTGACTGGGCAATTAGTCGCATAGGTCTTCTCAGTGTGCAGTTACTTAATGCCCTCCTTATATCCAATTTTGCTCCTATTTTGTGAGGGAGTCCATACTCTTTCAGGAGCCCACAGCTCAGTGAAGCATTTGTTTTCGACAGCCCAATGTCCGCAACAGTAAACGCATGTTCTTTGGAGGTCTTTCACCTTATCTTACTCCAAGTGCTTGGCTTGCCCTCCTCGCAGCGAGTCTCAGAGCCTCCTCGCAACTCGTGGGGCGCTGGCCAGTGGATTATCCTCCTCCTTATCATTTACATCGGGTACCATTTGGGTCGAGTCTATCAGCAAGGTATGCTCCCATATCTGGTGACTTGAGAGGCTCACTGTACAGCGGTCTTTGATCTGGGGCCGCGTGGGGCAGACCGCTAAGTTGTGTGGCTTGAATTAATGCAGCTCTTACCTGTCAAAAACCATTGCTTATGCACGCAGCCTCGAATGTTCCCTTTCTTTCTTCGTGTTTGAGGATCGTGACTGGAGCTCCTGTTCGCACAGGCCGCTTCCGCCCTCACGACTCGTGACCTGGCCGCAGGCACCCACCGGCCGCAAGCCCCCTCGTCACGTAGTACAGACCACCGCCCCTCTGCACCCCCACCGCCGCCGGGGGGTTTCTTTTCAGGAGGGGGTTCAGGACCTTCAGATTCATTTGGGAGTGGCTATGGGGGCGGCTTCGGCGGTGGCAAGGCTAGCACGTCTGCAAGTAGCGGGAGTTCTGCTTGGGGTGGTTGGACAAGCGCAGCGGCAGGCTACGGACTGGGTTATTTGATGGGCAACAGGAGACGGGCACCTCAGCCAACGTCGTTCTGGGGGGGGCAGCCCAGGCAGCAGCAGGCTACCACTGGTTGGTTCAGCAGGGGCAGCAACATGAGGGGTGGCATGAACCGGGGGGCAGGTGCGTCAGGTAGCAACACGCAGGGGGCCGCAACCGAGACGAGAAAAGCAACAGGGTATGCTAGTACGAGCCGTAGGTAAGCTGCTCCTGCAGGCATGCTCTGGTGGAGGTTTAGGCGGTTCTGTGCAACCTTCAGGGATGAAGAGTCCGCCACTGTACTTAGAGCTCCACTGGAGGCAGTTGGAGTGGAGTGAACCAACTTGCCAACAACGGGACAAAGAGGTCGCAATTTCCATTTTAGTATAGAGTTCGGAAGGCTTTTATACAGTTATGATCACTCAATCACATTGGCCTTCCCGGTGTTGTTGATCATCTCAGATGTTCGAGTTGATGTACATAGATTCAAGTCGTGATCAGCAGCCATGGTCACTCTTCAATCCAACTATACATGGTGTCCAATGGTTCATTGCAATTTTACAGGCTTGCAGCCGTTCGGGCCCGGCAGATCATACTACACGGATGCATTGCCATTTGATTCGGCTGAGAATCAAGCAACTATACTCTAGTTGCGGATATCATGGCTGGCTACATACGTGCCAGCTCGAATTTGCATGTCGTGCATATATACATGCCTCCGCGATCGCGGGGTCTCAGTAAATGAATGTCATATTAAAAGGCACATGTGGTCACATGTGGTCCATTCATATTGATCATGTGCAAAAGCTTAAGTATATGCAGCTGAGGAAGGAATACGTGTGCATGCAGTCGCGTGGAAGTATTCGAGTGCATGAAGGCGATGTACATGAGTGCCACATGAGAAATCACTGTCGATCATGACTCAAATCCAGATTTGGATCGTAGCAGTCACATGCATGAAATTACATGTATGACTTCAGACTCATTGCACCATTGCATATGAGAAGCTTCCAGTCGGATTTATATAAGGGTTGTCTGCTTCTCTCGTGCCAGATGAATTAATTGTACCAAGAAGAGTGCCAAGTAGACTGTCGCGACAGTAGGTCGAAAGGTTCTGCGCTGTGTATATGCATAGCTCGGGCTGAAATCATTTAACGATTGTTTCCTGTTACGTGACCAGCGCGGCCTGACGTCCGCAACTAACATAGCAGTTCTTGGAGGTTTCTGTGTCACTTACCCCAACATATAAAAAAAGAAGGCTGTTCATCCGATTTGGCTGTTCACCTGAGTCGGTGTCCTACCACATCGATGGTGCAAGGTGCACCTGCTGTTTCTCCAGAGACCCAGTTGCTGCTGCGCCTCTGCTTCTATTTCAAACACTCACAGACTACATAAATCAAGGGTTCTGACCCGTCAGGTTATCGCAGCTCGGAAACTTGTGTTTCATGCAAGCTGCAGGATTCCGCGGGCCTGGCAACAGCGCTCTGCGGCTCAGCTGCTGTATACTGCGGGCTGCTCATCGGCTCGAACTCACGTAACCACGGACACAGTTATTGACGCTGTAAACCAGTGTTGTATCCCCCTGCCCGAATGGCGGGCACGAGTGGCGCGGCGCAGCGAGCGGCCGCTCGCCGCTCTCATACGCCAACCCAGACGTCGAACTGGAGGGACGTGTCGTAGAAGGTGGGGTCAGGGAACTCCGCGGACGACAAGATCTCCGACAGCTTCTTGACGGCGCCGCCCAGGCTGCCGGGCGGGGTAGAGGGGTCGGTGACCTTAACCGCCCAGCCGAGGAAGCCCAGGTAGTCCGTGGACAGCACGCCATCATACGTCATCCCGTAGGGGCTGACCGACAGCTGCACCGCGCCGGTGCTCTTCCTCTTGAGCAGCAGCAGCGGCAGCGCGTTCGGCACCGGCTTGTCGAACGCGTACCAGCTGACGTCAGACAGCGCCACGGTGGCGGCGTGGAAGCCGGCCACGGCGATGCGGCCCGCGTCCGAGTTGGAGAACACCATCTGGCCGCGGCTCATGGTGCTCTGGATGGCGTCGCGCATCTTGATGACGTTGCTGAGCGAGCTGAGCGCGATGTAGAAGCGGAAGTAGTAGCTGCCGCCGTGCGGCTGGATGATCGTCGTGTCCGGGCTCGCCACGTTCTCCGCGCACGCGTGCACCGTCTGAGGGCACGCCAGAGGAGCGGTGTCAGGACAGGGTCGTGGGGCAACAAAAATGCGAAAAGGGATCCGGAGAGGACTGTTAGCATCTATGCTCCTGATCCGTTTTAGTGATGCTAAATGTATAAACTGTAAGGTCGCTCGATGGCAGAGCAGCCAGCACAAGGGATTAAAGGTGCAACCCCTGGCAATTGACAGTCACCGAGGGGCTCTAAAGTGCGAGCGCTCACACGGGAGCGAGACACAAGCAGGTGGTGTCTACGAGAGGTTCAGAGGCCAGTAAGATACTCCAGCCTGCCATGACGACTGCCGTGTCTCTGCTTTCATCCGGACACCGTGCCTGGATCCGCTGTACTGTGTTGCGCTCTCACCTGGTGGATGGCCTCGAACACCTGCGTGTACTCCCCGACCGGGTCCGTGCCGCGCCCGAAGCGGACCTGCCCGCACCAATTGCGCTCAGCGCCGGGCGCGTAGTAGATCCCAATCGCTTTCACGTTGTCCGTGTTGCTGTCCTCGGTGTCGGTGAAGGCCATCCAGCCGTCTGCAAGGAGACGTACACAGACCGGATGAGCTCAACCGGGGCCATGCCATAGCCTTTAGTTATCGAGGCCTCAGGTCGCCACCCCGCGAGGGCACTCGACTCTCGGTCATTTACCTAGGATAGATGCCACGAACGCTTCATACTCACCGTCAGTGATAAGAGCTTTTAGTCCTCAAAAATTTAGTCCTGCCATTTTCTCATCTGAGATAACTTATACAAGCGAAACGGCCGAAACGTTTGAAAGACGCACTACTGATGGAGTTAGCAGCGAACCGAACCGCGACTGCAAGCCCATGTCGAGCCCCTCCTTCTACGCTCCTCCAACATCCGCGCTCTGGGCAAAGAGGTCGTTCGTGGAAAGGGCGGGTTGCTCAGCAGTCTGAGACAGCTGACCATCAATCATCTGGACATCGAACTGCTCGTTTGAACGGTCAATCTGGCCATTGGCGGACCTGATTTTGCCGCATAAATTTATTTTTAAAGTGGGAAAAATTTTAGACAATGGAGAGTGTCGGCCACGTGGCTACGTTTTCGGGGCGCCGGCGCGCGGTGCGCACCTGTTTCGGTGAACATGTGCATGGGGTTCTCCCAGCCGGAGGTGTGGTCCTCGTACTGCCACTTGCCGCCCGGCAGCGAGCGCACGTACTTGGGCCGCGCCACGTAGTTGAAGCCGCTCCACGGCATGTCCACGAAGTTGATCGCGCGGTGCCCGAAGTTGTGCCAGATGTACGTGATCTCCACCAGGCCCTGCATAACCCGGGAACGGACTGTTTATCGACAGCGACCAAGAGCGCACAGCCGTGATTCATTGGTCTCCTATCTTGAACAAGGAGAAAAGTAAACGGAGGTTGACGGAGATTGCGGCCTCAAAACACAGCAGGGGGTGCTTCTGACTTATTCTGTCGAGGCCTTGCCTGCGGCGCAGGTTTCGCAACAGAGGTCGATCCCTTCAAAATGTGTCTCGAAGTGCGAAAAGGCCAGCCGCGGCACACCCTTCAATTCACAACCTTATCAGAAGCATTCGCACATCTAATTCGGTCACGAGGGACGGCTTCTCGAAGATAAGCAGCTCCGTGACCGGCTGTACTTGGAAAAGTCCAGCAGCGGCCTCACCCCGCCAACATCGCGCAGGCGCTGCTGCAGCAGCAGGTTGGCGCGGTGGTCCGGGTTCATGCCGTCGCTGCCCTGCTCTTTCTGCGGCCACGTGATGGTCTGCACCCCGTGGTCGATGTTCTGCCACGCCAGCAGCGGCGAGTACATCTCCACCTTGCGGTCGTCCGGCGCGCCGCCCGCCTGCGAGCGCGGTCAAGCACAGTCAGAAAAGAGACGAAAGGAATTATGCGGGCCAGAGGGAGAAGCGGGGCGAATGGCGGAAAAGATTCAACCGCGTGCCGCATGCTTCTCTTGAAAGCAGCGCAAGACACTCAGTAGGACTTATGACGTGAACAGGGAGCTTCGAAGAGCCTGCACGACTCTGCGAGCGAAGTGGATTTTTCCAAATGGCGAACTCGAGGTGGTTCTTTCCAACAAACGACCAGGTTTGGAGAACGAGCAAAATGACAGGAGCCCGGGGGCCCATGTCTCATCAACTTAGGTATAGTAAGCTCCTAGTCTAACACTGAAAACATAATCCTCAAAATAACCCGCTCCGCACCCGTACCCACCCTGGACCCCCAAACCAACCCCACCCGTCTCAGGCTGGTTAGCTTACTATACCTAGAGCGTACTGTTCCTACATCGAAGTTTTAATTAGGGCCCCCGTGAGGCCCGGCCGTCGCCGTCCGGTGCGCTGACCTGGTGGATGATGTAGGGCGGGCTCTGGTCGTTGATGGCCGCGATGGACTGTAGGACGCGGTCCAGGTACTCCTCCCCCACGTACTGGTACCCCACCAGGTCCACGCCGTCCTCGCCGGCAAACGCGTACGCCGCGCCCGAGGACCCGATGTTGAGCCGCCACGGCGAGCTGTCGCCCGAGTGGGTGAACGACCTGCGCGACGACAGGCGCCAGTTTCGGCTGAGAATTGGTAATATAATCCGAGCTAGCCAGACAAGATTAAAGATCGGGACATTTGTACAAAGCAGCATAGGGTATGCTGCCCTTTGCCGTAGAAGCGCATGGACATCAAAACATTCGCATTCATTTAGCAGCAGTCGTTTAGCTGGCCAGCACATCTTGCGGCTGTTCTCCTTGCCGTGGATCCAGCAAGCCAAGCTGCCGCAAACTGGTGCCAGGCACGAGCAGACTGGTGCTCCTCACCTGAAGTAGTTCTGCGAATCCTTCTCGTTGGGGAAGTAGTTGCTCCGGTCGATGGTGGTGCTGCCCCCCTGAAAGCCCAGCTCCGTGCCGGGCGCCATCCAGAAGCCGGCGCCCTGCGCGTGCTTGTCGCCCGCCGTGACGTCACCGCTCAGCGATGACGTGTCACCGCTATTGCTCCGCACCACCTTGGCAGTCGAGCTGGGAGAGGGGGTGGGCGAGGACGTGGGGGAGTCGGTCGGAGAAGGGGCTTGGGTGTTGGACGGAGGACTGGGAGAGTCAGTGGAAGGAGGGGTCGGGTTGTTCGACGGAGGACTGGGAGAATCCGTCGAGGAGGGGGTCGGGTTGTTAGACGGAGGACTCGGAGAATCCGTTGAGGAGGGAGTCGGGGAGCTCGGAGAAGATGAATCGGAGGGGGCCGGCGTGTTACTCGACAATGGCTGGCCCGAAGCTGCTGCACAAAGTGAAGGCAGAACATCATCAGGCAACTCGAAGACTTGTACATACTGGTAAGCAGTCCCGATGACTAATGTCGACATTGGAGTGACCCAAAAGCACAAACTTCGTGCCTCTTCTGCCATAAGATAAGGATCAAGACAGCAGGTTTTGCGTAAGCCCAGCGTCGAATATCTGGACCAGCCTAATGAAGAAGAGACTTCAGAGACGAAAAGCACACTTGAAAGTTTCTTCGGCCTTCAAATTTGTGCAAGGCTGCCCAGCTTGATGGGTTTCGTCTTCTTTCTTGCATGTATATAACTTGAGGAAAAAGGAGTAAAAAGGACTTGTGCTTGCGATGACCACGTCCGAACTACTGCCATCAGCCTTGCTTACTAAAACCAGCCCCTGCAGACCGGATTCTGAAATTGCATTACTTGACTAATGAGGTTGAGCATGAGCAAGTTGGTGGTAATATCAATCTGATGCCCTTGCTTCATCAAGACCTGGGCGCCGGGCCTGTGTTGCTGGATAGCTTGTGACAAGAAACAGATGTGACAGGAGCTTTCGAAAGCAAGACGCTTTTCTTTTCAAAGGAAGAAAGAGGTTTGTCACTTACACGAACCATCAGGCACCGACTGGCCGGAACAGTAGGGAAGGTCTGCTGGGCTGCTGGGGCAGCCCTCGTTGCCGCAGCACGTGTACGCAGAACCTTGGGCGTTGAAACATTGATTGGGCTGAGCACTGTTGGGGTCGCAGCCTGTAAAGAAAGATGATTCAGCTGGGGGCCTGGTTGAAGCTCACCTGATACAAAACATGACAACAGCTGCACAAGAGTGGGCAGGCCGCTCAACAAAGTTGCCAGAATCAGTGGGCGTCCCATCGGTTGCCATATCCCCCTGGGGAAAGGGGCTCTCAACAGGCAAGACACGTGCACGTACCTTGAAGTAGCTTTCGGCCAGTCAAGCTTTGAACCACCACTGGCGCTCCCAGGAGGGGGCAAACTGCAGAAGGTGAAGTGAAATCTCAGTGCTCATATGGAAAAAGCTAGTGGTGACACTTCTTGGACTATGATCACAGAGTCTAGTGAGAGCGCAGCTTGCAACACCAGCTGTGGGCCTTGATCCTGCAAAATCCTCAGGAGCTCATGCAACTGGGATCAGCTAGGTATGGGAGGATGCTATTTGACTATTCATAATCCACTGGCAACTCAGAGGTCCGCAGGGCGCGCGTCATCAATTTTGACCGCTAAAACCAGGGTCCTCCTAAGAAAGTGACATTATCTTTACCACATTCAATTGAGAGGAGCGGGCGCAAGTGAACAAGCACAGGAACCCTTGAACTGCTCATGTTCGTGATTTGAAATATGACAAAGTAGATGTTTGAAGCTTAAAAGCACTAGAAAGGTAGCAGTGCTCAAGATCGTCTGACAAAAGGCATGGTCTTCCACAGTGTTGGCTAAAGGCACTACCTTTCTGCAGCTGTGATTTGGATGACCTGGACTGCCCCTTTAACCTGATATGGGATCAGGGGCCACTTTCGGAGTCACGCTAGCTCAGTCTACATTTTGACTGCTGATGGAGGACTGGACTGGAGCTCAGTCTGGAGCCTAACCTTCTAATTGCGGTGTTGTGCAAATTCTAGTGCGCCACATTTCTAAATAAGTGGGAGAATACAACCAATGTGTTGAGTACTGTCTACTAGTGTGATCACCCCCTGCGAACATTATCAAGCCAGCTCATTTCGTTGGTGCCCTATGATGCTGGTGCCAGGATGTTGGCACTCTTTTACTGCGACAATCTACAGCGTCTAATAAAGTTTGTTGTCCAGAGCAGGATGACCCAAATGGTGGCATGAGATGCACTGCCAGCGGACCACTCACCTTGCTGAAGGAGCAGGAGGAGACTAATCACAGCTGCGTGGCTCAGAAAGCCCCTCTTCATCTCACTGGAGCCCATCGTGCCTTAGTGTCAGAAACTCAAGATGTGGATACAGCAGAGAAATGCTGTGTGATCATGAGCCAAGAATGACACCCGATGATCCCTTCAACTTAAGTTCAAGCACTGCAGCTGCTGCCTCTCCACTTCGCCAGTGAGCTTCAATTGGGTCTGCGTGCCAAGATCTCAGGAAGGTGCGGCACTCGTTTTGTGGTGTATGCCGAGGACAGGAGGGGACAGCGCGCAGAGCAGCAGCTGGTGGTGCAGCACTTGTCCCTCAAGGTGGTGGTGACTGGCCTCTCACTGCAGAAGGACAGATCGACCAGCGGCTGCAGCTGTAATGAGGCAAGGAAGGGCAGGCGCGAAGGTTTTGCAGCGAATTACAAGTTCATCAGCCCTGGGCAACAGTGGCAAGAAGCCAAACGAGGACAAAGCAAAGCTGAGGTATCACTGGTGTCCGTGCTGAAAGTCTTGAAGTCTCAGCTAGGAAGTTCCGTTGCTAGCCTGCAGCTTGCCTCGACTTCCAAACGTGAAATGCGAACAGCTGCAATCTGGCGACCGCCAGGATGACACTTCGCCGACGGCACCATGACACAATCCGCGCACTCCCCCCCGGAACACCCATTCCTCTGTACAGCCGGCCTGTCGGTTGCTTGAGTACTGCCACCGTCTTCTTGGCATCACGCAGACGGTCGCCCGCGAACTGCAGCCAGTGCAGGCTGCCACTGATCTGCCCGCTTTTGCGGGACCCTGGTGCAGAAATGTCGGAGCCTCCTGTCTTTTCAATTGCTCCCGTGCCAGTGGAAGCTCCGAGTCTGAACGGACACGACAAGGCAGCGGGGCGGGGCTTGCGCCCGGGTAGTTCAAGCTTCCGTGCCCCGACCTGCTACAATGTTGGCCGGTAGTCTCCCGAATACCAGATTCTGGTGTAATTGTGCCCCCCGGCTAGGGCACGGCAAATCTCTGATTTCCACCCGGGCCCTGAGCTGTTCTTCCGGCCTCGACGCACGTTCGTCAACGGTGCGCGAGAAAGACGTTGATCGACAGGACTCAGGAGCCATGTGTTTGGCATGGACGCCGGACATCGTTTACCACTGCGGAACAGCGAACTTGAAACAGTGCTCATTGCTCAGTACGTGCTGCAGCTAGGGTGCTCAGGCTGTACCTAGAGTGACCCCGGTACCGTATACCGGTACCAGATGTACAGAATCAATGGGGGTACCCCGGTACCTACAAAATTCATGGTACCGGCAAGTATCTGCCGCACATATGGACTGAGAACACAGGGTGGGCTGCCGCCGGTACCTACGGTACTCAAAGGTACCTACGTACGTACATACCTAGGTATTGGTTGGTCTCGGGTCGTACACCTTGGATCCACACGCTGTGCTTCGCACTGCTGTTAGTACCGGTAGTGTACACTGCGCGGCGGGGAAGATTTGCAGTGTCGACCAACTTGGTCCCGACCCGTTGCGGTCCCATAACACCATCCTCAGACCGGTATATACTCAAGAGGGAACTTTGAATGTTGTGTTAGAAAATCCGTGGTCGGCCTTGGGCCCCCGTATGTCCCGGTGAAAGGACCGAGCGCCCCAGTTGATTCCGGCGCAATTTCCGTTCTATGTGCCGAGATGAGTTCATGCAAACCGTCGATCGCTGCCCGTCACCTCGAAGCGGTCATGTACACTTGCCGGGGTCCCAGACTCCCAGGACCCATAGGTGCCGTGCCCACAGAAACGGTTGGGTACCCGGAGTCGATTGGGACTTCCAAGCTCGGGAACAACTACAGGCATTTGACTTTACCGGTAACCCATTTCGACTGCCTAACATCGACTCCCGACTACCTAGTCCCGGCTCCGCAGAACGACCGACCCCGTTCTCGGTCGGTCGGGGTGTACTAACCCGCGGGTTCTCTTCGTCGGGGTGCAAGCCGGCAGGACAAGACGGTGCAAGACGTCCGACAAGACGTCAGTAGTACCGGCCACACGGCAACTCCCGCGACAAATAGAGAACCGTAAAGCGCCGTGACAGTACCCTACAGAAACGTACCTAGGTACCTCCCGTAATACAATACCAATAGTGAGTGTACCTACCGGCGCCTTGCTCCCGGTAGACTACAAGCAGTGGCTACACAGTTCAGAGATCGTGGCGAAATACAAACCCGCTATGCACTAACCCTAATTCAAAATGCACCAATTGGCGCAATTCGGTGGCGAAATACAAGGGCCATCAGCTTGCCGCTTATGTTAAAAAATATCTTTTCCTTTTACAGATTTTCGGAACGCAATATGCAGAATTTCCGAAGTCGAATCCGTGACTCAAAACCGCAATATCGACTGCTCTCGGTCTGATTTTGACCAACTTTGGTCTCAAAACGGTTATCTTATGGTGCATATAAGCAGAATGTTCTGGAAATTGCGCCGGGTTGGCGAAATAGGGGCTCTGGGCGGAATATTGGCGAAATCCGGCGCAACCCCAATTGGCGCAAGCCTACACACACTTGATGTCAATAGGTACTGAGACGGTTTTCAACAACGGGAGCTGGCCGAGATTAATAGGTACCGGCCTACTTGACAACCTTGAGGCTTGCGTTTGACTGGATACCGTACGGTATGCGAAGTCGTCGTTTGTACGGTTGTCACCAAGTTGCCCCGGGAATCCTCGGCACATCTAGTCGGCCGGCCCCGGGTTGGCCCGGGCTGGCCCTGGCACCGGCCGGGGCGGCGGGGCCCACTCAGGCTGCCGCCCAGGCGGCCAGGCTACAGCCTAGGTACCGTACGGTATACCGTACCGAGTACTTTAATACGTCACAGGTGCCTACGCACGCGGAACGCCCGATTGCATAAACTTCCATCTGTATCCCGCTTCCGTCCGATCTTGCATT